GGAAGAAAATTGTTTTGGGGGGGGGGGGGGCAAGAAATCAAACAAAGTTAGTTGCGTGATTGGGGCAAAATGCACAGGAAAGTTCTTGGGGCACACGCGCATGTAGTGGGCACCACGCAGAATGACGCAATTGCACGACAAGACTCCGAACGCAGCTGGCAAACTACTTCATGAGAGAACCAACAACAACAGTTTGGTGGCGGCACGAACTGGCTTCCTTTGAATTACATGTGTGTACTAGGTGCTCACAGGCAAGCTTCTCTTCGACAGTCCCGTGGCAGAGAGGAGCCAGGCCCCCGACGAACTCCTTGTAGTTGATCTGGTCGTTCCCGGTCTTGTCGAACATGCTGAACAATCGGTCCAAGATCTCGGTGTCCGACTCCATGATGCCCACCAACTCCAGCGCCTCTCTGTACGCATGTATGCATGTATATTTTGCCAGTTATTTTTGGTGATGGCAGCGACGTGAGATTTTTCGTAGTATTTTTTTATTTTTATATCTATGAGTGCTACATGCTTGCTTGTAGAGAGATACACCGCACAAAGGATGGTTGTATGCATAGCACTTTGCTTCCTGAATCGTTTTGTTATTTTTTTCTGTCTTTCTTGTGGAAGACACTACATGCAGGCGACCGACCTGGTGTGTCTAGCTAGTAGGGTGTGACATAGTAGCATCGACCGTCCGTGGAAACGCGCCGCTGTACTTCGTGTACCTGTAGTCTTCAGTATTTGCGCTGACTGGGCAGCATGCATGCCTGCTTGTTTTTGTGGCATCGTGGAACGGCGTTGGGGGGGGGACTCTTGCGGGGGAATGTTGCTACTGCTGTAGGTAGTACGCTCAGCAGGTTCATCGTCTGGAAATCACGCACAACACTGCACAGCGTTGCGCAATAAATAGTTGTTGTTGACAGAGGATTGCACCGCCGCGCACTGCATTTTGTATTCTACTTCAGGACTCAGGACTCAGGAGCCAGCAGGACAGACAATACCTCATTACCCCGGTGAAACGATCGGTGAGTTGAGTGATTTCTCATTTCTCATTTCTCCGCAAGAAAATGGCCGATGATGTCTGTCCGATGTGTATTTTTTTTGTATTTTTGTGTGCCTCTGTGTTGTCTTTACAAACGGACTCTGTCTTCTGTATGTCTGTGTTTTAAATGTAAACGCTGGGGCTTCGTGATACAGCATCTACGCATACTTACTCCATACCATACATGGAGGTTTCACTTTACAGAAGTATGTATCAACGGCAACCTTTTATCGTGGACAGATGCACGCACGACACTCCTCTGCGGGTAAAAGGCCAAAGATGCAACGCATTCAATACAGCAAACGCGAAGGAAGCGGTTCAGAGTTCAGAGTTCATGCGAAAAAACGGCGGGCTGCATTGTGTTCCGAGGTCACACACCCAACCACCCTTACAATCATTCGCTTTCTATTTTCTATCGATCTGGTACGCACGCCCGCATAGGAGGGAACAGCGAGATTTTACTGCGTACTGCTCTGTACCTGTATGCGTGTTCAATGTTGTAGCAGGAGCACCAGATGGATGGGGATGACAAGGAAGGCTTAGAACTTCTGCGGGGTATGCATACATACGTCCAGACATCTCAGTCGGAGGTTGCATCGCATCGCGAGCAGCAAGTAAGCGTTAAATGAGAGAGAGAGAGAGAGAGAGAGAGCGAGTGGTAGTCGTTCGTTCTGTTCCGAAACCAATCACACGTTATTATCAAGATATCGAGATGCATATCTACACCGCAGCTGATATCAACACATCATGGCATAGGTTCTGGTGTGTGCAGCAGACCGCTGCTGCTGGCTGAAAAGATCGTGAGATACTATGCATGTGCATATGAAATGCTACTTTTCCTGCTGCTGTGTGGGAGGCGCGTTGTCTTTATGTCGTCGTTCGCAAAACAATGCTGCTGCTGCTGCTGTCAAGAGCCAACCACCGACGCGCACCGCTCTTCCCGGGGGGCAACATTTTTGTGTGCCATGCAGCAAACTGATCTGTTTTTTTCTGATGTGTGGCTGGTGGCTCGTTTTTTTATGTAGAGCAAAGAACACGAGTGTGGAGGTCACAGGAGGCAAAAATACAAAATACAACAACATCACCTCGATGGTACGCCTTTGCTGGTGGTGCAGTTTATTCTCTGGTCTGCCTCGCCTCACCTGAATTCGGCGCGGGTGATCGTGTAGGGGTTGCCCTCCCGCTGGGCCAGCTCCACAAACTTGCGCTGGATCATGACAGACAGACAAACGACAGACACCGAGAGAGAGAGAGACAGACACTCTGGGTGATTTATTTATTTATTTGCCCTTCGGTCATTTATTTGCCCTTTGGTCTCCAAAGGAGACAGCAGCAGTATCATGATGGCGACGAGAGCACCAACAGCGAGCAACAGCGAGCAGACGCCGGGCGCTGAAACCACTGTGCTGCTGTTGCAGCAGAGGCCCCCGGTGGAATGGCAGCAGGTCTCTTCTCTCTCTCTCACTCTCTCCTTCTTGAGAGGGGCCGAGTCATGGCCACAACAAGTTTTTCAGTCACGACCAACATCGGCGAGACAAAATGGGTCGTGTCGTTGTTGAACGTGCGCGCTTCCCCTTCGCCCCTCTCCCTGTCCGTCTCTCCGAGAGCAGCCAACAGCCGTCGGCATCTATACATCTGTGAGCGGCAGCACCGCACCAACTGAACGGCCGGATAGCAGCGCACGCAGCACTGCCACTGCTGCAGCGACGGACGATATATATATGTATGCAGCAAGGCGCTGGCAACTCTGTGTACGCTCGGGCAGATTGAAATTGTAACAATGAAGCAAAGCACACACAACAAACACAAACAACACTTGAAACGATTCAAGGAGATGGGGCTTTGTTTTGTGCCCCTTTGATGTTGCTGCCGTACTATTACGCCTGCGCCGCTCGCTCCCTGCTGCTGTACAAGCAGCCAGGCAGGCGTCCCCAAACGGGAGGTAGAGACGGCTACAGCAGTAGCTCGCCAGGGATGAGAGGATGGTACAGCAGTAGTACATGAAAATACAGCAGCTAGCTGTCGGTAGTTGTGAACGGCGCAAGCGGCGAAAAAAACCCGGCTTGGTCTCTGTCTGAACGGCCAACGAACACACCTGCAGGCGAAGCAGCTCTTTCTTCTCGAAGTGCGTCGCGTTCGCCATGGCTCCGATAGCCATCCGGTTTGCGCTCCGCCCCATGTCATTCCCCATGATGATGTTTCGTCCGCGCTCCTGTGTCTGGTCTGTATGCCTTTTTCTTTTGTTTGGTGTTTGCTTGTGTTGGTGACGGCTGTGGTGTGGGTGGGTGTATGCGTTTGATCAACGATCGACCAGTGGCGCAAAAAAAAACGCACAAAAAAAAAGAAAAAAGCGGTGTGCGCCAGAAATAAAGATCCTTCAAACGCCGATGACGGTTACTGGTGTCACCAATCCATAGGAGGTGCAAGTAATTTTGCGGCCGGCCTCTTGGCACTTGGCAATCACTGAATCAATCAGTACGTGGTCCCTTCGTCTCAACAGCAGAGCGCACACCCACCGTCGCCAACTTACAACCAAAGGAACAACCTTGCTCTCGGACCCGCACATCTCACCCTACAGGCATCATTTTATTTTTTTCTCAAATCTTCAATCTACTACTGCTGCTTGTTGCTGCTGCTGCTGCTGCTTGTCTATATGCATAGTGATAGATCTAGTCGATCAAATGGTAGTCGAGAAATTACGGGGACTCGTTCACAGCGTGTTGCAGTACAACTATGTGCAAGATATCTTTGGCATCGTGTCGCCATGGAATTCGGTGTGTGCGTGTGTTTTGAGTTTTGAAAGAAAAACAGAAAAGAAAAAAAAGTAGAAGAGTTAGTTTGTGGGGGTTATGGGTTATGGCGCGGGACACCAAACATGGATGCTACAACACTACAACTGCAGTACTCACTTACAGATCGGTCCAACCTCTCCATCCATGTGATGGGAGGGTGCTCCAAAGATTTGCGAAGAGACGCGCTCGTGCTACTCATTTTTGCCCTACGTAGATATGCATAGGCTATCATGCATGAAATCTGTGAAACACAAGAAATTCACGCTCGGAAAAGCGACGCTGAAGAACACTTGCTCATGAGTTAAAACAACCATTTATCACAGCAGTCGATGTTGTTGTTGTTGTTGTTGTTGTTGTCTTCACATGAAAAACCGTTCCGTTCTCTGTACCCAGTACCTTCTTCGGTCCGTACTAGATAGTCTTAACACTGACACGGTCGATTCCCGTGGTCACAGGCTAACTTATATACCTTAACTTACACCCAAAAAGGTGTACGAAAAAAAAACAAATGGACCCGAAGGATCCGCACGTCAATAGAACTCAACGACAGATAGTCTAGCCACTCCGCTCGCCTCTACACGCTATGCGAGGTACCCATAGTCTAGACTGGAAAAAAAGAAATAAAAATAAAAAGAAGAGAGCAGATGGGGAGAAGGAAAAAGAGAGAGAGAAACAACACAGAGAGAGACACACGCCAGAGTCACTACCGTAGCGACAATCAAAGTTGTGGGTTATATAAATAAGAAACCTTTGGCATTGGCTGTGTGCATTGCATATGTACAGAAGAACAAAGACGGAGACACAAACCCGTCGATGGTGTGGGTTTTGCCCCAAAGAGGATAGGGAAAGCCTTGGGTGTATTATAAGTGAAACAAAGATGATGGAGACACCCATGAACCCCTTATTATGCGTCATAACTGCCCCCTCTTCCCTTCGACTCCCCTGCGGAAACTCGTCGGAGAAAGTCGATCTGCTCCTATATTTATTCGTTTCACTCGCAAAAACGGGTGTGCACGGGTGCGTTCCCCCCCAACAATCAATTCGGCAGGCAGTGAAGAAGCCTTGAAGCCGGGGAGGGAGCATGGTCATAGAGGACCCTCGTAACAAATCAAAGCACGTCAAAATTAAGCACATACAGCAGGCCCCGCGTGTTGCCCGAATGAGTATCTTTAGATCTAATACCATAGGTAGGTTTGCACCACGAAGAATGGACCTCTACGAAGGCCATCTGTCGAAACGCATGCAGCAAGGAAACACCGCTCACCGCAACGCAGCCGGGACTCACTCGTCGACAAGGTGTCAAGATTAGTCAAGATTAGTCAAGATTAAGGTGTACGTTGACATTCCATGGCGCCGGCCGAAAAAGCAACAGGTTGTCAACGGTAACAACATGCAGCTCTCCTATTAAAAGTGCATCGCTAGACTGTAAGTCTAGAAAAGCAGTTATGTTCGGAATTCCTCGGCAATGTTACCACTCTACTCATGCCGCGCCGCTACTACCATCGAGACGAAAAAACGCCCGTGAATGGACATGTAGCGATGAGAGTGTGCAAACTCCCATGCTGGCAACATCCAACAGAATGTACTGCGCGACTGCGCGGACATGAAGCGCTCGCAAACGAGCAACTTAAAGTGCCGTGCGCCCGCCCAAATCCCAGGAGAACAATCCATGCCTGATACAACAAAAAGAGTTACCAGCCAACTTAACGCGGGCGGTGGCACAGCACCATACCACGAGTTGTACAAGGTATTCATCGGAACGACTCGGCACGTGCCTCTACGCCTGTTTATTGCCGTCGATGCCCTGGAGTTGCGCCGCGAGGCTCTCCGTCTTCTCCCTGTACTCTCTATACTTCTTGTAGTCGCTGACGATGCGGGTTGCAGGCACACAGACGGGCGGGTAGACGAGTAGGCAGCACGTCGACAGGGACAAATCACGGAAAATCGGTTGGAAACGGCATGTCGCAAAGCATGTGGCATACTGCGGTGCCCCCTCAGGAACGCTACCCGGATAACTGTTTTGAGCATGGCGGTACGCTGCTTCCCCGGTGCTTTTCCTTCGGCTGTAGCAAGTGGCACTCATTCAATCCTTTGGCTGTAGCAAAGGTGGTACTCATGCAATCCTTCGGCTGCTGCAAAAGCGGCACTCACTCAAGACCGAATGTGTCGCCCTCATTACTCGAACACCTGACGTCCTGTAGCTACATACACAGGCCTTCGGATGAACAGCACGGCAAAAACAGCAGTACGGTGATCGATCCTCCCGACGACACAACACCGCGACAGGGGAAACCCAAGAGACTCACAGACAACAACGCACAGATAACACCGCATAGACAACAACGCAACAGTCAGTATTAGGACAAACCCAAAACACGCGAGGAAAAGTCACCACCGCCACCGCCACCGCTGCCGAAACACTCTTCCGTAGTAGCTCACCTAGGCACCCCCTCGTCCCCCTTCTTGAGCATGACCGTGAGGTTGAAGCACGACGGCCCGTGGTTGTGAGAACAGCCCTTCTCCAGCAGCCCCCTGGCCCGGGGGGGATCTCTTGGCACCGGCCCCTTGCCGTCGTGGCGGAGGAGCTGCTTCGCCAGCATGTTGCAGGAGTCCGCCAGGCCGCCGCTGCAGGACGTGTCGAGAACCTCTATCGCCTTCTTGATGTCCTACAGAGCGGCGAAATGTGGGCGCGAGGGGGCAGGATTGGGTGGGGTTAAATAACGGAAGGCTTTGTGATGGTCAGGTTTAGTGGGGAGGGTTTCGATACTGGAAAAGGGGGTGGGGGGGGAGTAAGTCTGCCATTGACGGTTTTCGTATCTCCGTGGAAACCGAAGCTCTGACATCTTGACGTCGTTGGCCAACGTATGAAGCTCGCGGATTGTTGTATCCCTACATCTCCCGCTACGACTAGACCGCAGCCGTACTTGATAGGACCGACACACACGAAAAAAATGATTGGTCGGATCTCTGGAGGGCATTCGAACCGTCCTTCTTGAGACATGGTGCTCGCTACTAAAAAAAAAGGCGCTTCCAAACCAAGGGTTTGGGAGGCCTTGAAGTGCACTTTCCGCTGAGCACGATCGAAACTCTTCAAGATTTCGTTCCACGACGTCAGCCTGAGACGTACCATTCCACACTTCAATTTTCCAAAGGAGGCGGACGGGTACAAAAGTTCCTGTTTGCGCATGCGAGCGACTTGTTGCTGTCACAAAAAAATGTTCTACGGGTTTACAGTAGAAACGGGCCAGTCTTGGTTGCTCGTGGATCGGAGACCATCTGCTGCACTCACCCTTTTGAACCCCTCTCCGCCGTACAAGTGCATGAAGCCCAGGTGCAAGCATGCCGGCTGGTGGTCCTTCCCGCATGCCGAATCTGGGCATAGCACAGCACAGCACAGCAAACAAGCAACGTGCTTGGGTCACATGATATCCTCCCGCGTGTGACCGGCCGTCAGTCACCTAGCGAGTCGACTCAGCAACAGACGTCTGGGGCTGCCGCCGGTGCGTGTGCTTTCTGCGTACCCTCGGTTGAGCTGAAGCTTCCCGAGATCAGCAAGCATCGGCAAGCATCGGCACGGGTTTGGGTAGTTGGTGGTGATAGATGCACTGCGACAACTCGGTTCGAATGCGGGCGACACTACGCAAAACGAAAACCATCAACACAAACCCACACGAACCGTGCGCACTGCTGTGTTGAGCTTCCTTTCGAACCCTGACTTTCCAGGAGATTTTTATCTCACACCTCCACATTCCAGCAACGGATTTTCTACCCGTAATCCGTGGAGACCTCGTCTACTGGTGAAAAACACCATGCCACGGATTTAGCTCGTTGCAGCGTTTCTGCCCCCGCGAAAGGCTGATGTCTTTTTCATTGGTCAGCTGGTGTGGGCGGTCACTGCTCTTTGCAGAAACACAACAAGCCGGTTGGGGCGATCAACGACTATACTATAGACATACACGTTCACGACTGATGTCTTGTCATTGGTTCGCTGGCTAGCGCGGTCGATGCTACTTCAAAAAACCCACAACGATGCAGGAGTTCGCGACGGGCCACGTGCGGCAACGCGGGGTTGGACAAGACGATAAATATATTTAGCTAGAGCATCGCCAGGGTTGCCGCGGGAGGAGTACATTCAAGGTAGGTTTAGAATTCCTCCTGGACTGTGAAACCACCGGAAAAAAGGACCCCCCTTGTCTCCAGCGCCCTCCGCGACCCCCCTGACTCTCAAAACTACAACAGAGTATCGCATTCTTAGTCCACACCAAGACTGACGTATTCCGTCGTGCGAACACCCTGATCGTGGGCGATCATGCACGAGACACGAGACACGCATATGTGCTGGGTGGTTCGTTCGCTGCAGACACCTACTCTCCGTGCCCGCATGCAGGCGTTTCAACGTTGTCGCGGCACAGACCGCTCTCTCACCAAAGACTTTCTCGGCTTGCGCGTCCGACTGCGGCAACCCTTTGCCGGCCACTGGTTGGTTATCGTCGTCGTCGTCGTTGATTGTTCGCACCCCAAAAAGCAGACAGGGACGAGAGCAAGCGTGCGAACGATCGAAACAGCAAGCGCACAGGGAGAGTAACCGGGCGGGCGACAAGCACGCGGGCCAGGCACACACAAACACAAGGGGGAGGGGAGGGCACTCTTGAGGCAGGAGTTGACGACGCATTTTGAGTTCGCTCGTTTCAGAAGGGGCTAGGCGCTCTCACTGACGACAAGAAAGGGGGTGCCCTCCCTCGCTGCTGCGTCCAAAGTTGCCGACCTTCAGGTACATGGACATGGACACTCATACCACCACCAATGGAATGGGCTGACGTACCAACGAGCCTCGCTTAATAGCACTATCAGCAGATAGATCTCGACACAGCTGTTGTTGACCAACGCAGGCCAATACCGACCGCGGACACACACCACGGTCTGGTGTGAGACGGTGCTGGTGCCGACCGCCCGCTCCAGCCTTGGTATCACGTAGATTCTGGTAGCTTGCGTTGACCTTGGCGGTACAACAGCAAGAGGAATGTCGTGGATATCAAGATCGACCCTACGCACATGACTCTCGCCTCGCAACAGCCACTCCTTGAGCGCGACAGTCCTACATACAGGCCAAGCGTTGGCTGTCGCGGGCGCACGTGCTCGCATGCACCATCAAAATTGTGAGCGACAACAGAGGGGCCACAGGGTGTTTCCTGCGCAAACTCAGAACTACTAACCGCCTCTTTCGGGACAAATATATATATATATATATATGTATATATCCAACACTCTTCTTCCCCCCGCGCCCTCACGTAAGAATCGCCCGAGGTTGAAGCACGACGGCGCGTGGTTTCGGGTGTTGCAGTTCGCCTCGAAGATCCTTCCGGCCTTGTCGAAGTCGTTCTTCACCACCGACAGGTACTCGCCCACCTGGTGGCACGCGACCGCGTTCCCCTTGCCGTCGTTGCAGTCGCTCTCGAACGTGCGCATCCTGCGGGCGTGTTTTTTTTTTGTGGGGTCGCGGATGTTGAGCGTGCCGGGGATACATGCGGCGGAACGTTTTCGTGTTACGGTTTTAACTGCTGTGCTAAGTGGTGGCGATTGTGGTGGTGACAACTGAGACGTGCTGGAATCTACGGGTTCGGGTTCCTGTCGAAGTCACCCCCGAACCACCACCACCACATGGGTCGTCCACAGGATGCCTATCCTGTACGGCCAGCAACGTTATAGCCAGAAGGCCTGGTTGATAGGTTAAAGACGGTACCGACATTGCACCTACGGAGCATATCCCCCCCTGTCCCCGGATGATAAATGCAAACAATCGGCCACCTATGCTCGGGCGTTCTTTCCGCCGTGTCGGAAAGGCCCAGAGGGGTGCTGTCGAGTATAAGTCAATGCCCTCCGTTGGTGTGATCGCATTGCTCTAGGGCTGATTTTGTAAGCGGTTCGTCAGGCGGGTCCGTGACTCTGGCCGTACGCCGCATTTCGAGACTGATGAGCCAGGAGGGAGCTAAATACGGCAGCATATGTGGCCCCTTTGTTGGCGTGTGTTGTGCCTTGCAACAGAACGACCACGCGACCAATCGAAAAGGGGCGCCAGGCAGCGAGTGCTATTCTTAGGACGTTTTGGTGACATGGCCGGCCGCGAGGTACAGCAGTACAGTTGGCGCCCGCAGTTAAGAAACGCTTATTTCAGGTCCAGCCTCGAATTCTTATTGTGGGCTATAAACTCAGCGTACGTCGTTCAGTTTCTTATATCATGTTTCTTATTTTGTAGAAGGTGCTTCTTGATGTCCCCGAGCTAGCTCGTCGACAGCTCTTTCTTGTTGATAATGCACTGTGGGAGGGGGGGTAAGGGGGAGAGGGGGAAAGAGCGAGAGAGCTGTGGGGTTTGTTTCTTATTCGACACACTCCCCCGTAAACCCTCGTTTCTTATGTAGTAGGGCAGCGGTCGCCGCTGTGTTTCTTATTGAGACATTTCTTGTTGTGTGACCCAGATTGAGCTATGTTTCTTAACCCTATTTTCTTGTTTTTCGTGAAAAAGTGAGCCTCAATTTCTTAACAAAATATTTCTTAACTGCGGGCGCCAACTGTAGTCTAGGGGGAGTTGATTGAGTTCATGAGTGCCTCTTGGCCCTCGACTCGTTGCACCTCTCCTCTGCGAGAAGCGAAAACTGCTGCTGCGCAATGTCAACAAAATCCACAGTCTACGATCTAACCTATGGAACGAAATCCTATTTGGCTTCTGACACGGATTGGTGCTTCTCCTGCTGCGTTGCGGCTTGGTTATCGAGAGAGCCAGCCCCCAATGTATCCATGACATGGAACAGAGAAGAGTGCGAATCGAGTCAGCTGCAACAAACGGCCGACCTCTAGGCAAAAGTGGTGCGAGTCGAACACACCTCAGAGGCACGTCCATCTGCTGTTACGACGAGATGGAGGAATAAAGCAAGCTAGGTGTAATCGTAAGAACGTGGAGCCCAGAGCACTGACACAAACCACTTCCGTGTACCGCTAAAATCGCTCTGATGTCTGCTGTGCTGCTGCTGTGTCAACTCCCGCTGTGTCAGAGACAGCATGCAGGCAGCAGCAGTCGACAACAACATAAAAATCGCTTCCCACCTCCGCGCTACAAATACACATGCAACTCAAGTCAAGGCTTACCGATCCTCATACTCCGCGTCTACCTCTTGAAACCCGTCCATGGTGTCGCTATGCTTCGCTGCTCAGCAGAGCGTGTGTGAAGCTGTGTGTCGCGAGAGGGCAAGCGAGGGGTGCGGGCTGATTTCTTCCCGCGGCATCCCCCCCTTATGGGAATAGGCGTTCCTCCTCCTCGTCCGGCCTGTACGCTCACAGTCCGTTCACCCAGGACCCAGGACCCAGGACTTACGAAGGGACGGAAGAAGCCAACCCGGCCGCTGTACTGACGCCCGCCCTGGAGCACGCTCGAGTCCCCGGGGGGGGGGGTCAGGATCACACGCCTTGCTGCGGGATCTTGGGAGAGGAGATCGGGGGAAAAACATGGCGGATCGGCAGTGCGAATGGGCCGCCTGCCAGAAGCAGCCCTACTTCGCGCTGGACATGCGGGATGCGCCCAAGTTCTGCTACATGCACAAGTCGGACATCCATGTGGATGTCCGGAAGAAGAGGTACTACTGCTGTATTGTAGGAAAGCAGAACAAAGGACGGGAAGAAGAAGATGAAAAAAGTTACCGAACGGAGAGAGAGAGAGAGAGATGCGAGAGAGATGAGATTGATTAGAGACAAGGGGATAGGAAAGAGAGAAGAGGATTTCACAGCCGTGTTACGGTTTGGTCTACTTGTACGCATAGGTAGCATGCTGTACCCCCCGTGAAAGCAACAAGAAGGGCCGTGCGTGTGAACACCACCGTCTCTTTTCAAAATTGCGACGCCATCGCCGCCGCACTCTTCTGCCTTTTGAGGGGGGGCTGCCTCCTAGCGGCTGGGATAGTTCAGCCTGATCAAATGGATCATGTCTCTGGGCATCGGGGAGCAAGAGGAAGCGGCGGCGAAAGCACGAGCTCGATTGCGTCCTGTAGACCCCCTCTGTTGAAACGAGCATCTGTATCGATACTTTGCGTGTGGTTGGTGTCCACACGGCACATAACCTGTGCAAGCAGCTTACACGCGCACGTGGTGTAGTGTGATCTCTGGCTTTTCATCGCATTAGAGACGGATGTTGACGGGCCTGACTTGCCCCCCGGCCCTCGTCTCGGTGGCCTGCTGCACGCTAAATAGCCTTGTGTGCGTTGTTGCTTATTTAGCAGCCCATGAAGAGTCCAGGCACCTCGGAGCTAACACGAAAGGGTAGGTGGGGGTAGGTGGGGCCTCTTGTATTCTTGAGGAGACACCGAAGATCACCCCACACTGAAAACTGAACCGCCGACCCAGTAGCCCTCGTGGGAGTAGTCGAGCGCGAGATTACCAGCACGGAGCAGGAACGGAGACACCATCTATGCGTAGAGACTTTGATCTTTGGAGCGGTTCACTGAACTCACAGTCTTACAGACAGCGCACTCAGTCGCCGCCTCGTCCCCTCTGCACTCGCGCATTTATAGCGCATAGTTTTGGGAAAGATTTTCTCCTCTCCTATACCGCCATCTCGAACTCGTCGTCCGTGCCTCCCTCCCTCCCTCTCTTTTGTGCGCGCGTGCATGCTCCGTCTTCACCAACGACACCACCACGCGCAAAATCTGTTCAACCTACGATGACGACAGCTGCGAAGCGGACAAGTGCGACGTCAAGCCCAACTACGGGTTCGAGGGAGGCGTCCCTCGCTTCTGCGCGGCGCACAAAGAGGAGGGGATGCAGAACCTCGCCAGGGGCCGCTGTAAGGTAAGGTGACCAACGTCGCGGGAAACAGCGCACGTAATTTCTGAGACATGGGCAGCTTTCGTGCAAAAGGAACCTGTAGCAGGCTGTGTTTTTTAAGGAATCGTTGCGGGAGGGGATCCGCTCCCCTCTCGGGAAAGTTGGGTGGAGAGCCACAGTACGCCTCTTGCGTGTGGGCGTTTTTGACAGGAACACGTCGTGTCGGGGGAGTGTCGGCAGCTTTAAGCCGAAATAGGAAGCAAGACCTAGCTGTTCCGCGTTGTACGCTCTGCGGACGAACAGGTCTACAACGGTGTCGCGAGCCTGGGTGTAGGGATATACTCACTGCGGCGATAACATGATACGTTGCCTCACATTGTCGCTTTCTTGCCCGCACGAAACAAGGAGTATTATCGTGAGACTGTTGCTGACGTCCGACGTCGTGCCACGACGTGCGGATCAAAATTGACCACAACGAAATAATAGCGCACACTCATGTACATACGCTTAACACAAGCGACGATTTTCTCTTTTTCGTAACTGCCAGCATCCCGGGTGCCTAAAGTTCGCCAGCTGCGGCAAGGAAGGAGGCTCGCCCGAGGTGTGCGGAGACCACAAGACCAACGGCATGGTCAATCTCAACGGGAGGCGCTGCGCTCTGCCTGGCTGCAAGGTAAACGAGAGGGGGACACAAAACAAAGGACTACCAAATCGCAACAACGGTCGGGGCTGGAAAAAGATGGCGGGGTGGAAGCAAAACCGGAAGCTCCGTTCGGAGGCGTGACGATTGCTCTTGTTGTTTTTCCTGGCTTGTGTACGACCGTGTGTGCTGGAAAGCTGTGTATAAATAGCAGGGCTAGAATTTTCGTTGATCACGCGTCATAGCTTCGTATCTCCTGCTGTCTCGAAAGGACCTGCAGTTCATTGTCTCGTGATACAGTATCTAACTCCAGAGTACGCAACAACAAACAACAACAACAACAACAACAACAACAACAACAACAACAACAGACGCACGCGAGCTACGGCATCGAGGGTACGCGGCCTCGCTACTGCGCCAAGCACAAGACGATGGACATGATGAACCTCGCCATCAAGAAGTGCGACTTCGACGGCTGCCTAGCACAGCCCAGCTTCAACTTTCCCGGCGAGAAAAAGCCAAGGTGAGAGGAGAGAGAGAGAGAGAGCGAGAGGAAGAGAGAGAGAGAGAGGGAGATGCAGAGGGAGACGCGCGAAAAGACGAGACGAGGGGCAAGCAGGCAGGGAGGCAAGCAGGCAGATAGACAGACGGATAGGTGAGCGGACAGACAGATAGACAGGGAGAGAAAGGAGATTTAATCGGGGAGGAAGATGGGACTCAATGGGGAAAAAACAGTCGAACTCAGCCCTGTTTCTGCCGCTGGTTGGGATGGAAAACTAGCCGAGAGAGGCGAGTCAGAGGACGACGCGCGTTGGGCTGACTGATGCTTTGAGTTAGATAGGTGGGTCGGCGGCGGACACTATCAAGGATTGGTGGAACCTCTGTCCCGGTTCTGGGTGTTGGACGCCAGGCTTTGCTCCTGCTGCCTCGAAGAGGAATGCACATTTGGGGTGTGAAGATTACGGGCAACTGGGGCAGGCTGACAGTGAGTGGGGCTAGTGTAGAAAGGAGGACAGGGGTGGTATGTGGATGGTGCAGGGTACCTGCGAGAGCGAAGCGGTTGAAGTTGTGCGTCAGTTGTGTTCGAGAAGGACGAACGGAGAATCAGGCTTTTTTTCCCCTCTGGTGATCTCCATGGGCACAGCCGAGGTTCCTTCGTCGGATGAAAAAAAACGTGCGCCTCCTTCATGCGAGCGGAGTATTTATTTTCTCATTGCCAAACACGATCCCGTTTTCTCTCCACGCGGAATGTGTCAGACTATGTCCTCTCATTGCCAAACACGATCCCATGTTCCACCCACGCGGAATGTATCGCTCGAAACGGCGCGCGGCCGGAACGATAAACAGCCCCCTTTACAACAGCGCGAGAGAGCACTCAAGCGCTGTCCCTTTTTCTATTTTTTTCCCGACGCGGGCGCCGATCGGAACATTCAATCGCAGGTTCTGCTCGAAACACGCCCTGGAAGGGATGGAGGACGTGCTCGACCGCCACTGCGCCATGTCCGGGTGCGACCGCCAGCCCATCTACGGCAACAGCGGCGAGAAGACAGGCAGGGCGAAGTGGTGCCCCAACCACCGCCCGGCAAACAGCCACGACGTAAAGACGTCGCGCTGCCAGGTGGAAGGCTGCCAGAAACACCCCAGGTGTGCGGGACGATATGCGTTGTCGTGGGATGATGGATTTTTCTCGGCGATGTAAGATGCTGTTGCTGGCGCTTCAGGCGTGTCGTACCTCTCACACCCCCAGCCCCCACCCTCCGCTAAAAAACAACCGGACAGCTACGGGTTTAAGACCGATCGCGTGCGTCGGCGCTGCCGCTTGCACCGGCTGGAGGGCATGGTGGACGTCAAGAGCCCCAAGTGCGAGCTGCCGTCGTGCTACAAGCAGCCGTGCTGCGGCCACCTCGGTGCGAAGGCGAGGTTTTGCTCGGAGCACAAGCAGGAGGGGATGGTCAACCTCAAGGTGCGGTACGGTGATGAACAAAGGTCCAGTAGCAGTAGTAGCAGCAGCAGCAGCAGCAGCAGCAGCAGCAGCAGCGGTAGTAAAGTGTGAGTAGAGCCACAGTAGCAGTGACAGCAGCAGCAGCAGCAGCAGCAGCTGTAGTAGTGTGAGTAGAGCTACAGTAGCAGTAGCAGTAGCAGCAGCAGCAGCAGCGACAGTAGTTAGCAGTGTGAGTAGAGCCACGAGGCTGTGAGGACCTATTGTGGCGATAAGCGGCGCCATCGTTGGTAGCACCCAGGAGGGGGGGGGGGCGTACTCATTTGTTGCTTGCCGTAGTCATTTGACCATTGACCACGCGTCCCTTTCGAGACGGAGCACCGTTCCTACACCTACTAGAGACACCACCAACATTTGGGAGCTCTTTACGTTTCTGCCACAAACTCCATAAAAATTTCTTGCACATCTTATCCCCGTCCTCTAGGGCCTCTTGTGCCCACCATCTATCCCCAATTATCGCGATCGTTTTTTCGCTGTTGTCTAATTTACCAAACTTGTCCATGTCACACCCTCTCTGTCTCATTTCCTCCTCGAGATCCTCTCTTTCCTTCCTGTACAACTCACACTCCCCAACTATGTGGGGTCTACTCTCCTCCGATTTGCCACATGGACATGTGTGTCTATCCTCCTCTTCCTCTCTCCTACGGCTGGTATACCTCTTCCTCCGTTCTGGCAAGTCCAGATCGCCTACTCGAAATTGCAATTTCAGCTTTTTCGCATAGTCCATGGGGCCGTCCAAGTACTTCTTCATCCCTATCCCTTCTTTCAACTTCCCGTATATCTCCAAGTGGTCTTCGCTTCGTACCTTCTTGCGAAGGGTTGTCTCCTCCCTACTCTCTAGCATCTCCTTGACTTTCGTCTTGAACCCCCCGAACCCTTCCGTGTCCAACGTCTCCTCCTCGTCTCCTATCTCCTTCCAAACCTTCTCTACCACCTTGTCCCATCTGATTCCCTTCTTCCCTGGAGTCGCTTTTCCCCAAGCTGCCTCGTCAACCATGGCTGGTAGTCTATCGTCCGACATTCTACTTACCTTGTACTGCCACTTCAACTTCTGCATGTCTCTCTTTGTTTTAAGAGAGTACATTCCCAATTCTGCTCTCAATACAGTGTTGCTCGTTGTGCTTGAACATCCTAGTATTTTCTTGGCCGCTGCCATCTACACCGTTTCCAGCTGCTTGACGGCCTTTTCGTTACCTTCCCATATCTCTCCTGCATACTCTAGCTTAGGTACAATCACCTTCAAGAGAATACACCTCTTAATCCTAGTGTCTAGGTGTGGGTCCGTAAGGATCTCATCCATCTTGCCTATCTGAGCTTTACCCTTCCCAATCAACTTCGCTATGTGGGGGGGGGGGGGGGGGG